CAGATTTGAAAACAAACTCATCAAAATTTATTTTGTTGGTAAGACAAAAAATTATGGAGGGTTAATAGTTTTGTGAACATTACTAGAGGGTGGAATTTGGAAAGATTCCATAAGATAGGGTTCATTTTAATTTATTACACCATTTTTAAAACAACCAGAAAACAATAGTGACACTCCAAATTTGTTTGACACTACAACCACTGTCCACCACAATGACCTCACGTGCTCGTCACGTGGCCGTGATCGGACTCGGAGCCGCTGGGCTCGTGGCGGCTCGAGAGCTTCGCCGTGAAGGTCACACCGTCGTTGCTTTCGGGCGTGAGAAACAGGTCGGAGGACTCTGGGTTTACACCGATCGAGTCGAACCCGACTCACTTAGCCTCGACCCAGATCGAACAATCGTCCACTCAAGCATCTACAAATCTCTCCGCACCAATCTCCCTCGAGAGTGTATGGGTTACAGTGACTTCCCATTCGTGACCCGACCCGGAGACGGCGAATCTAGAGACCCGAGACGGTACCCGGATCACAGAGAAGTCATGATGTACCTTCAAGACTTCGCTAAAGAGTTCGAGATCGAAGAGATGGTCCGATTCGAGACGGAGGTGGTTCGAGTGGAACCGACGGCGGAGAATGGCCGTAAATGGAGAGTCCGATTTAAAAGCTCAGGTGGTGTTTCCGGCGAAGAGATCTTCGACGCAGTAGTCGTTTGCAATGGTCACTTCACTGAACCTCGTGTAGCTCATATTCCTGGTTAGTTGGTTGATTAATGTGTGATTAGTTTGAAATTAAATGGTTGATTAGTTTCTTAATTATCTCGTTTTTAGTCTCTTAGGGATAGATTCATGGCCAGGGAAGCAAATCCATAGCCACAATTATAGGATTCCAGATCCATTCAAAGATCAGGTATTTGTAAAATCTACTAGTTTCCTAAAGCTTAATACTTTATTTGTTTGTTATAGATTAGTTTAAGATCTCTACATTGATTGTGGTTTGAGATGTTTGTAGGTGGTGATAGTGATAGGAAGTCAATCCAGTGGTACTGACATTAGCAGGGACATAGCAACCATGGCTAAAGAAGTTCATATGTCGGCTAAAGCGGTTGCATCCAATACATACATTGCGCGTACCAGTCATAAGAATCTACGGATTCATTCGACGGTAAAACAAGAAAATGAGCACAAAATGAATCATGTTGATATGATGATTTCATTTCTTAAAGGTTCCCTTGATTATATGTTGTAGATCTCCCGTGCCTGCGAGGATGGTTCTGTGATGTTTCAAAACGGGAGAGTGGTTTATGCCGATGCCATAGTTCATTGCACTGGTTACAAGTATCATTTCCCGTTTCTTGAAACCAATGGTTATGTGACCGTTGACGATAACCGTGTTGGACCGCTGTACAAGCATGTTTTCCCTCCTGCGCTTTCCCCCGGGCTCTCCTTTATCGGTTTACCTTTCATGGTTAGTATTACTATTACTACATTTTAAATAGATATAAGACTTGAATATTAGGATAATCTTGAAATCCCTTTCATGTTTGGGATTAAATGTTATATAGATATGGAAGTTATAAGAGATTTAGAACGTTAAGATAACCTTCAAAACCTTTTTTATTTTTATTTTATTTTTGAAGCTATGGAATTCCGAGCAGAATACTTAAAGCGGTAACATATATGATTGGTAAAAAATTCTTGATATGTGTGATCTTCTAATTTCTGAAATCTCATAATATTCAAATAAGGACTGATTTATTTTGTTGAGTTCATGACTTGGTTTGATGTTTGTTCGTATGGATATTCCAGGGGCTTCAGTTCTTTATGTTTGAAATCCAAAGCAAGTTGGTCGCTGCGGTTCTGTCGGGTCGAGTTAAGCTTCCCTCCGAAGATAAGATGATGGAAGATGCAACAGCGTTCTACGCGAAGCTTGAAGCCTTGGGGATTCCCAAGAGATACACACATTTTCTTACCGATCCTCAAGGGAATCCGCTGCTCGGTCAGTTTAACCCGCAAGATGCGGTTTTGATCTCTCAAAGCGATTACTTCAATTGGATCGCGGAACAATGTGGTTGCCCGTCGATAGAACGTTGGAGAGAGCGACAATACAATATCGCCATCAAGAAAGTTTTCTTTGGTGGCGACAATTATCGTGATCGATGGGAAGATAATCAACTCATCGAAGAAGTGTACCGCGAATTCGCCAAACTGAAACCGACCAAGATTGTTCTTCTTAGTTGATCCATCCCCGAAGATGATTGTAATGTGACAAAAATGATCGATTAATTCAAGCAAATTTTTCGAAAGAAAGTAAATAATTTCAGTTTCTTCATGGTATGGGGTCAATACTCAAAATGCTGATAAAATGGAGCACGACACTGTTTCGTTGACACTCATTGACTATGTCATCAGGACCCAATCCAATCAGCTCTCGTCGAGTGGCCGTGATCGGAGCTGGAGCCGCCGGTCTCGCGACGGCGAGAGAGCTCCGGCGCGAGAGTCACTCCGTCGTCGTGTTCGAGCGAGAGAAACAAATAGGAGGTCTCTGGGTATACACTCCTCGTGTCGAACCAGATCCGCTAAGCCTCGACCCGACCCGAACAATCGTCCACTCGAGTCTCTACGATTCTCTCCGCACCAATCTACCCCGAGAATGCATGGGGTTTTCTGATTTCCCCTTTGTGCCTCGACCCGACGATGAATCCAGAGACCCGAGACGGTACCCTAGGCACAGGGAAGTCCTCGCTTACCTTGAAGACTTCGCGAGCGAATTTAACCTCGTGGAGATGGTTCGATTCGAGACTGAAGTTGTTCGTGTCGAGCCTGAAGACCAGAAATGGAGGGTCAAGTCCAGAAATTCCGATGGTATCTCCGGCGATGAGATTTTCGATGCCGTCGTTGTTTGTAATGGACACTATACAGAGCCTCGAATTGCTCGTATTCCTGGTAACTTTTGGAATCTGGTCATGTTCTTGATAGCTCTTAAGATTCATACTCTGTTTTTGTTAGTAGAATGATTTTAGATTAGTTCATGCTCATACTGATCTAATTGGTTTTCATGATTGTGTTTATAGGATTAGATTCATGGCCAGGGAAGCAAATCCATAGTCACAATTATCGTGTTCCAGATCCATTCAAAGATGAGGTAACTCACAGAATCTATGAGGTTTTATTCGATTATGGAGGCTTCAAAATCTATGAAAGCTCTGCCAATTTAGCGTTTGGTATGTTTGCAGGTGGTGGTGGTGATAGGAAATTTTGCTAGTGGAGTTGACATAAGCAGGGATATAGCAGCTGTCGCGAAAGAAGTCCATATCGCATCTAAAACGACTGCATCTGATACATACGAGAAGCTTCCCCGTCTCGACAATCTATGGCTTCACTCTGTGGTAAGAAGAAGAGAGTGAACTGAATCTAACATGAAAGTAGACGACGATGAGTTCATGCAAGAGAGCATTGATGTTCCCTTTGACATGTTGCAGATAGAGAGCACATACGAGGATGGCTCGGTGGTTTTCCAAAATGGGAAGGTGGTGCATGCCGATACCATTGTACATTGCACCGGGTAATTCTCTGTTTCATTAATTTTTTGATCAGCGAATTAGCGGCCAAGACAGGTTGAAATGTGCGATAAAAGTCTTTCTTTTTGTTTTTTTGGCTTATGTTAAGGTACAAGTATAGCTTTCCTTTTCTCGACACCAATGGTTATGTGAACATCGATGACAACTGTGTCGGACCTCTATACAAGCATGTTTTTCCTCCGGCACTTGCTCCTGGCCTTTCCTTCATTGGATTACCATGGATTGTTAGTCTCAAATGAACTTTCTTTCTTGCGATCTTACCAGTTTAACTTTGTCAATTTTTTTGTTAACACTTGAGTTTGAATCTTGTTTCTTTCCTTAGGTGCTACAATTCTTTATGTTTGAGATCCAAAGCAAGTGGGTGGCATCAGTATTGTCTGGTCGGGTTACGCTTCCGACACAAGACAAAATGATGGAAGATGTTGTAGCTTTCTATGCAAAGCTTGAAGCCATGGGTATTCCCAAGAGATATACTCATCGGTTAGGTGAATCTCAGGTATATAAAAATATATATGTCCTTCACTAGATACGCTTCAGCTTCAGCCGCAATTATAATCTCCTGAAGTAAGCAAAGCATTTTTAATGTTTTTCTTTCCAAATTTTCCGCTTGCAGGTTGAGTACTTCAACTGGATCGCTGAACAATGCGGTTGCTTACCCGTTGAACATTGGAGAATACAAGAATATTATCTTGGCCTCAGACTTTGCACTCAATCTGATACTTTTCGTGATCAATGGGACGATGATCATCTTATTGCAGAAGCGTACGAGGATTTCGCAAAACTGAAACAGAACAGAGGTTCGTAATTCTCAATGACTGTAGCTTCATTTGTGTCAACTA